TTTCGCTAGCGCCGTTCGAAAGAGGACACAAATTTGAGTCGGTACACTAAAAATTTCGACTTTCCGATCATTTAAAGTGACAAATTCGGAACCTTTTAGGTCGAATTTTCTACCCCTCTTCACTCTAGGGGCTGCACAGGCCGTATGGGGTGGCGCAAGGGATGTGCACTTCGTGGGGTCCAAGACGAACCAATGAGACGTCTACAGGCCAAATCTCGGCATTCTAGCTCAAAACACTTACAAAATACGCCGGCTCAAAAAAGTGCGCCGCTAATTTTGAGCAGCAGTGTACCTAGTAGTTTCTGTTGTGGGCCAATATAAGCCGAATAACACATGTTTCGCGAGGGGTCAAATTAAAACAACATTTGTTGTTAATTAACAGCTGTATCGTTTAAAAAAATGTTCTTTTTTTACAACTTTTTCTAACAGTGTGTACCCTTTTTTATAGAAGAACTAGTGATGTTAGGTTTGGTCTTGCTTCCTTCCCCAATTATTTGGTGCCCTGTCCGTATAGACTCTAAAAGGGCTTTCCTCTTTTCCTCCTGTAGAGCAGATTTTTTATCTCTATCTTTAAGAATTTGCAGTCTCTTTTTCTCAAGTTGTTCCAGTCTGATTGTTTCAGATTTCTGGGGAGTATCTTTAGATTTATCAACCATTTCCAGAACCTTTTTATTTCTTTTGTCACCCCTACTCTGGACCACTATAGTTTTAATCACATTAACATTGGTGGTAGAGGCAGCTGGTTTTAACGTTTTCAGAGTGGTGGTAGACGCAGATGAAATTGTTTTCTTCAGAGTGGCCACAGCTTGAGTTGTCAATTTCATCAAAGTAGTGGTGGACGAAGGCGGAGTTGTTGTTTTCTTCAGAGTGGTGGTGAAAACAGCTTGAGTTGGTGTTTTATTCACAGAGTTTGTAGAAGCAGCCGTTTTCGCCTTCCCGGCAGGTTTTACAATGACAGGTGGTAGAGCCAAACTCTTCTTTATTTTGGATTGAGGTGATTCGGTGTCAGTGTCTGTAAGTGACTTTTTCTTCTTACCTCGCATTCCCCTCTCCATGGCGTTGTCACTGCCAGATTCATAGTTTGGAAACTTGCAAAAAGCACTATATGTCTGCTTTGCTAGGTCACATGTTTCTGTAATTTAAAAAGATATATTACAATTGGTTCAATTTGAAATAACATACATGACGGATGCATTTTTTTACTTACTAAGAAAACGCAAAACTGCTACTCTTGCAACATCCCAATCAGAATGCACAAATTCAGATGTGTCTAATTTTGTGAAATTTAGACGTCCTCTAGACATAGATCTCCTGTAGATCTCTAGACGTCGGCTAGACGTCTAGTAGAGCATGTCTTTCTGGCTGGGAAGGAGGAAAAATAAAGCAGCCAGCTAGGGGCGGGGACCGTGAAGGAGTTGACATTTAGCTTACTTTAATTGAATATTCTTTTAAATTTGAAAAAGAACCTGTCGTTTTCGATCGGGATTATATAGTTGGGAGGTAAATACAGCCTTAGACAAGTTCCAAACTTTTCATCCAGAAATATTGAATTTATTCTCGGAGACACGATTTTGTACTCGATCGTGGAATCACCCTATATTGCGCGGTTACTGCGGCGAGAGCGGGCTGCCGCGCCATAGCTACGTCAATTTTGGTCGCAGATATTCCGTTTAAAGCTCATTTTGTTCATCAGACTTGTGCCTTGGACGTTACGAAATAGTGTTTTATGCGATTTCCTACTGGTTTGGCCGCAATTAAATCTCAAACTTCATAAAAGAATTTTGAACAGTGGAAAAAATTAATGTTCAAAATTTTGAACTTTCATCGCCATTTGGGCCGATCTGCACGGTGGGATTCTGTGGGACTTTTGGCAAGGCTCTCCTTAGGGGTCCATCAAACGGTGGTGTCTTACATAGTCTAGTCATTTTG